AAAACTACAGACATCAACAACTAAGTGCTTACGCTCACTTAATGCTGAAGACTATATCAGATGGCGAGATAGAATAAGCAACAAGGAACTCTGTCTGGCTGGCAACGAACCAACCGACCAAGAGCATATCACACAACAGATATGCAGAAGGAAGTGAAGATGGATCGGGCGTACACTGAAAAGACTGTTTGAAGGTCAGACCCTTGAGTGGAATCCAAATGGACAACGATGAGTTGGGCAGCTGGGTCGAGGGTGACATGGTGTAGATGGTGTGAGGAAGAAATGAAAGCTTGTAGAAAGTCATGGAGTCAGTTTAAAACGATTGCAGAGAAAAGAGTGAAGTAGAGACTTGCTACGGAAGCCCTATGTTCCACTAGGAACTCAAGGGATAAATAATAATCATAAAAATTGATCGTTTGTTGGCAAGGAAGCTGAACGGACAATGTTTAACCACAAATTGATAGTTTGGCATAAACTCATCCCGTTTTAATGGTTATGCGTGTTAAATATTCTCCATTTTTCTTATATTGTATCATATATATGTGTATTCAGTGGCAGGAGAAACCAGTTACCTCCTCAAATATTGTTTCATATCTTCCGCCTATGTTTTATCAACGTAATCGTCATGATTATAGATTTGTATGTGTTGATTTGATGTAAGCAGACATAATACTTAGGGGAATTATTCTATTGTTACACTTGTTGTTTAATTATTAAGGATAGTTGTTAGCTTTTCTCTTATTCTTTTCCTTTCTTTTCAATCTCTTTTTACTTTACGAAACTGATAGAATAGTAGAAAATGTGCCAAGAAAAGGAAATATTATTGTTATTATTATCATCATCATAGCCACTCATATGTGACTTGATTTTCAAGTCATTCTTGCGTAATAATTTTGAAGTGAACAGTTTTTTTTCTTGACTCCAGTCATCAGTTTTCTCTTTCATGTGTGTGTGTGTGTGTGTGTGTGTGTGTGTGTGGGTGGTTGGGTGAGGGCTTGTTTTATATTATTCGTTGAAAAGTTTTCTGGGTAATAATAATTAAATCGAACTATTCTCTTTCTTTATCTTTGCAACTCTTGTCTCAACTGTTGTTTTTACTCATCTATCCCTTTTTTTTTTGTTGTTTCACCTGATTTTTTTAAAGTGCTTTTGTTTGAATTATCTAACGAACAGATGATTTTGAACGAATAAGGTGGTGAACGATATCGCTGTTGAAGACTTTTCTACTTCTTAGTCACAAATTCCTTGAAATATATACTTAAACATACAGTTAAAAACATTTATTTCTGTTTGTATGTACTTTGTCATGTATTTGTGAATTGATATACACAATTGGAGATGACATAAAGAAGGGAGTTGTCAACTTTTGATTGTCTCAGTGAGTATTTTGTTTGGTAGAGCATGATTAACCTAAAGGCTGGTTAAGTCCCTTTTAAGGGTAGCATTTATCAATTCTTCCGGAAACATCATCATCTTTAAAACTAAGTTACTAAAACAAGTTCCTTCTCGATTGTATCACACTTTATGGTTGTATTCGGTAACATCCTTGTTCTTGTTGATGAATGTCTGTCATGGTTTTCAACAATATTCACTTCCTCTTCTGATGTTTTTGTCGAAAAACATGTATCATGCAATTGATGAGTCTTTTCACTAACCTCTCCATATGATTAGTGGGACAGCTGTTTGATTGGTCAGGGTTATCCATGTAAAATATGGTTGGATTACTTGTCAATTGTTGACCTTGTTCCAGTGGTTGTGTCTTTTGGGGTGTATGAGAAGAAAGTTTTACCAGTTATTGCTAGTTTTGACTAGGAGCAATAAATCTTGCCTTCTCAGACTTGGCTTCTGTGTTTTTCCATTAGAATAGTATGACGACAGTATTTTTAGTAGTCAGTACCTATTGTTGTGCGGCAAAAAATGTTATAGGTGTATAACGATAGTTCTTAATTCTTAACCCATCAGTTGAGAGAAATTTCACAATTCGGCAGTATTCTATTATATCAACTGTGTTAACTCGACAATCGTCTGCTTTCAGTGAAATTTTCTGTGCTCAGTGTTAATGATGATAATGGTGGATTTTGTTTTCACTTGTTCTCACTTCATCTCGAAACATTGCTCAGTTATATAATTTAAAAACCTGATGATCCATATTTTTCGGCTATTTGGTTTTTGTTTCTACTCAATTAACATAATTTATTCGACAGTTTTATTTATGCTAAATAGAAAACCCAATGTCACTGTTTCTCTATCCGTCTGTACAAGTGATAACCTGAATTGTCTATCTGATTGCTTCTATTTCTATCTGCGCGTTTTTGCGTATTGTGGTTTGGGAAATGACTATCAACTAAGTGGGTCATGGGTTCGAACCAAGCCTCAACTACCGAGTTTTAGACAGTCAGGTAGTATCACTAGCCTACTGCACGAATGTACAGCAGGTGGTTGAATGCATGACATTACACTATATTTCGCTCTTCTCCTCCCCCTTTGACGTTCATTTGCAGCTGTGCGTCCGTGTGTGTATTACTGGATTGAAGTGAATCGTTTTCAAATTATATTTAGGATTAGATTTTTCCGTTCAATTCGTTGATATTTGACCAGTTAATTGGAGAATATGATATTTTTTATCAGTATGACTAACTTTGATAGCCATGTATTGGGAGATTTGCATTAATATTGGGTGATGATCGAAGGTAGAGCACCGATCTGGAAACATAGTGGTCACTGGTTCGAATCGTGCTGTTGACCAAATTTTCATTTCACCTTCAATCATCACTCTGTCAAACAAATATTTCTTTACCTTTTCGATTTTCAGTAGTGATGTTGTGAGAAGAAATTATGGGGCTTTTATTTCTAGGATAGTATTCATCACCGACTAACATCAATTCGAGAGCAATTGAAAACTAAGGAGCTTTTCCCTCTTAGTATAGAGGTCTTCATTATTACACACGCATGATCCTACCAGAAATCAAACTCGGGACTTTCAGGTTTCACAGTGAACGCGTTAACGATTCAACCAATGGATGGGTTTTCAATGGTCTCGAGTTTCTTACCTCTGTTCATTTACCATATAGCAGGACTATCCACCAAGGTTTTCAGTCGGCATTCCCTTCACTTCCTACCAATTGACCACATCAGGTCACGACTCTTCATTTTAATTCTATCTTTAAAATAAAATCCCTATTCACCGCAAACCACATTACGATATATTGTTTATTAGTGATATGCTTCTAGATAGATATCACGAAATTGTATTTAAAAGCTGTCACCTGTGTGATCATCTCGTTGTGAATGGAGTGGATGCCAACTGAAGACCTTAGTGGATAGCTTCACTACATCGTGAAGTAGGAGACTGTGAACCATTGAAGTTCAACCCAGTGGCTGAATGGCTAACGGGTTCACCTTGAGATATGATGGTGGTGAGTTGGATCTATCCAATACTGCCTAGTTTTCAGTGATTCTGTGACCGATGTCAGTCTATTTGTGGTAAATACAACCATATATATATTAAATAGTCTGTCAAGAAATTTACATTTTTCTGAGTGGCCATTGGTCGCTGATTAAGTGGTGTATACTGAACTATACTGAAGTTCATTGATAAATGGTTTTCATCAACACTTGTAAGCCGTCAATGGATATTTAACACAGTGTCTTGAGTTCTATTGTGAGATAATAGGAAGTTACCAAAGTCACGTTGATAGATTTTATTACTTTAAAATATCTTCAATTTTGATGACCACTGATGAATCACCTAGAACAATATAAACTTACATTTACTACAGTTTATATCCATCTGGTTTATGATTATAAGACTCGACAAACCTCTTGTAATACTCCTGAAGCAGGTCTACTGTCAAAAGAGGTTCGAGACTCTAGGTGATATGGCTCAGAACCGATATCAGTGGCGCAGATGTATACACACATTATCCTCATCTTAACTACACTGTACCGAATCTCACCATTTTGTCGCTTCTCTTTCCTTTCTTCTCGTACTTTATATTTCTTTTGACTGCATTCACTTATCTTCATCCTTCACCTGAGTACCTTTCTACTTGATGTAGTGATATGAGGTGTGGCAAGTTGGACCGTTACACAGTAATGCCTGGTCCTATGTTGATAATGATTGATTGACTGTCAAAAGAAAGGGTAATTTTGAAGATGATAATTTTCAAGTTGAATTCATCAATTGACTTTATTATTATTGTTATTATTTATGTCTTCCCTTGGATTTCTAGTAGACCATATGGCTTCAGTAACACGTTGGCATTCCACTCTATTATCTGCAGTCTTTTTAACCTGGTTCCATGACTTTCTACAAGCTTTCATTTCTTCCTCACATCATCTCCTCCATGTCACCCTCGATTCGGCCGCTCAACTCATTGTTTGCCCTTTGGATTCCACTCGACGACCTGACTTAGTGCATGATGTCTCCGAATGGTTTTCTCAGTGTATGCCCAATCCATCTCCACTCTCTTTCTCTGCATACTTGTTTGGCAATGGGTTCTTGGTTGGTTCGTTGCCAGCCAGCTAGAGTTCCTTGTTGCTTATTCTTCCTGGTCATTTTATCTTCAGTATCGAGCCAGAGTAGGCAGTTGTTGATGAATATCTGTAGTTTGTTGGGAATGCTTTTCATGACATGCCTAGTTTCTGAACCATTACATAGCAGCACTGACTTGACTGAATCGGTGTTGAAAATCTGGATATTGTTCTCACTTTGTGCTGAGTGCAGTGAAGTAGATCTTCACAGTGATTTCAGATTAATGAACACCTGTTTGCTTTTCCGATCATGGTTTTGACATTTTCGTCTGTGGCTGTCCCACGTGTAGTTGAATCGATGCTGCCTAGATAGGTGGAAGAGACTGCTACTACTACTACTACTAGTCAATTGACTACTCGCTTCTTTTTTAATTCTCTTCAATTTTTCGAATTTATTACTTTTTACTAACCATAAAATCGTATTTTTTTCATGCTTTCTACGTGAACCAACAAATAAACTTCTGCAGTAACGGAAATGTTGGTCAATGTGCTTAATATATGTTCAGACGATGAATTATTATCAGATGCACCAGAGGATGAATGTAAGTATACACTGTCGTGTTAATTTTTCCTTTGGACTTCTTATTACTTACCTGTTATTCTATTGTTAATTATATAATTCTGCAGGATTATGCTTTCCGTGGTATGATCTGTATGAACCAGGTATTTCTTCTCTTCATTATGCAGATGATAATAATTGAAGACGCCTATAAATTTCAAGACTTGTTCAGAACTATTAATGATAATAAAATTCACTACAATATCTTGATATATAAGGTTTTAAGATAGCAGAGAAGATTTCTAGTTCACAACATGGATGATTATAAATGCTTAGTGATCTACGAGTGTTATGGTTTACTCTTGGACATTACGTCATCAGTCTAGGCGACTTCATCAGCATTTACTTCACGTGGAATTGTAACGCTTTCGAGTTGCACTAGTGTTTATGTACAATATTTTTTTTGACTTTGAGTATTAATAGTTTACAGGTAGAGCTGATTTCTTTTCGTATTTTCTTTAGATCAGACTAGTTAATCTCATAGGTCACTAGTACACTCATCTTGAAGTGGATGACGACTGAAGACTTTGGTGGATTGTTGCATTATATCACAAATTGAAAGAGAAATAAGAAACTGAGAACCATTGAACTCTCTAACCCTATGAATGAATAATTATTACGTTCTACACGAGGCTTGAAGGTCCTGAGTTCGATCCCTGATGGGATCATGGATGTGTACACTAAGGAGGGGAGTCCTATACTAGAATGAAACGGCTGTCTAATGCTCTCAGGTTTTCAATAGTTCTCCAAATTATATCAGTCCATGGTGGATACTACCTTAAAAATTGTCTAGTTATATAAATATCATTGTAACAATAATAGGTTCATTGTAAAAAGAGAAGTAATCTAGAATTTCGTTTACTTAATTATCATCTTGTAATAATTTGTTGAATAGCATTCTCAAAATTAAATCCAGTAGTAGGTCAGTATATCTACACGTTGTTAATATTCTGGACATTGATACTAGTATAACCAATTTGTTTATTTTTCTATAGATATACAGTTACATTTTTGAGTGAAAACAACACGTGTACAAAATTTTTACATTTCTTTTGAAAAACAAAATAAAATAAAACAAGAATATTGTTTTAGGGTAAAATATAATAAAATTGAAAGTTAATCGATTCTTAAAAGAATCTTGAAAAGCGACTGACCTCTCGAAGTAGTGGAATCAACAATGCAGATTTCGTCCTATTATAGGACTCATCAAGTGGATGTACCTACCACCTCTCATTGAGTAATGTTATTCCTATCAAGGTTCCAACTCACAGCCAATCATATCGAATACCATAGAATTGCCTGCTAGGTCATTGAATCACAATAACCACTCCTTGTACAAAGGGTTTACTATAGTTTTGATGTTAAAACTTGTCATTCGTTGATTGGACCGAATTAGGATATAGGTTATCAGCATTACCTGTTGTCTTAAGGCTAATCATACTAATTAGCTGCCTAGACCTTGGTCGACGGATCCAGGTACTATAGACTTGTGACCCTTACTAGTTGAAACTAAAGTACCTAAACCAACAACAACTGTCATGTCATGTTAAAAGGTAGAACTTTTGTGAGACAAAAGACTAAGCTTTTTGAAGTGGTAAACTGCTCTTATAAAGTGGATGTTAGTTGGTTTTAGTGCAGGCTTGATAAATACGTTACTGGATTCCTGTTCCCCGTCGTGTGCGTGTGTGTGTGGCGGAGGGGGGGGGGCGGGGAAAGGCAGGCGGTCATCAGTTTTCACGTACTAACCACAAATACTTACAGATGTTATCTTGTATTTCTGTACTTTATATCGTCATATGTTTGAGTTTTTAGAAAAATAGACTTCGACCTTAACGAAACAACATTTCCTTAATTTATTAATGACGTACATTTTTCTTAAAGCTTACTCGGTTCACCAAGTAATGCATATTGGTTTTTTTCACTTGGGCTTTATTGATTGAATAGTATCCTATAAATTAAACACTCGACTATTTTTTGCACTCAGGTTACTCACTGGCATATACTTTACCCTATTCTTTTTGTAGTATAGACTCTAACCATGTGTTTATTATTCTCATATATCCTCATTACTTTTTTTTCTTAATCTATTCATCAATAATGTTATCCTTCATTTTACTACAGCGCAAATTACTGCACGAAAAGATGTTATACGGAACAAGATTCGAGCTATTGGTAAAATGGCACGTGTATTTACTGTATTAAGGTAAGTCAATCTGTGTGTATGTGTGTGTGCATTTGTCAGTGTAAAGTCTTTTTGGTTTAACATTTATAGGTTTTTATTTTAAGTTGGATAGAGATATAATTTTTAAGGTTAGTATTCATCACGGACCGTGATTTGTTGGAGAACCATTGAAAATCTCGGAGCCTGTGATCTGTATGATTAACCAGTCGGAATATGAAGCACACATCAACTGTAGACCCTAGTGGATAGTTGCACTGCATCATGAATTGATAGAAGTAAGAAATTGTGAACCATTTAATTCTCATCCACTGGTTAAATAGTTAACACGTTCACTATGAAGTCTAAAAGTACTGAGTTGGATCCCTGTTGCAGTTGTGCGTGCGTACTGCTGAGAAGTACTCTGTCCTAATTAGTTTGCAAGCAGTATAACTGACGAAAACAAGATTTGTGTAATGCTTGCTGAAAATATTTTTCTGGTTGTGATATATTTCTATTATCAACAGGAAGCTCAGTGATGATGCTTTTGAAGTGAAGTCAGGAGTAAAACAAGGCTGTCTACTATCACCCATGATCTTCCCGATTGTGGTCGACTGGGTCATGCAGCAAACAGTGAGGAGCGAGAAGAGGGGGATACGCTAGACTGCGGAAACGAACCTAGAAGACTTGGATTTCGCCGATCACTTGTGTCTGATGTCGCACAAAATTGTAGATCTACAGGCAAAATCCAACCAGTTGACAGAAAAGGTAACGAAGACAGAACTTCAAGTGAATATAGAGAAGACAGAGGTGATGAAGATACCAAACCAACACCACCAACAACAACAACAAGCTCCAATCACTATCAGTGGGAGAAACTTAAAGGAAGTAGCCTCTTTCGCCTATCTAGGAAGCATCGTTCCAACTACAGGCGGCACGGATGAGGACGTCAAAGTCTGGATCGGAAAAGCAAGAAAGACAGGCGTTCATTAGTCTGAAACCAGTGTGGAGATCTGCGCTCAGCATAAAGCGGGAACAGGATCCAGATTTTCAACACCAACGTCAAGTCAGTGCTTCTATGTGATGGTTGAGAGACTTGTCGCGTTACGAAAGGGATTTCCAACAAATTATAGACATTCATCAACAACTGCTGCATACGCTGGTTCGTTACTGAAGATCAGATGGCCAGAATAATAAGAATAAGCAACAAGGAACTCTGGCCGGGCAACGAACCAACGAAGCAAGAACCTTTCGGTGAACAAATATGTAGAGGAATAAAGTGGAGATGGATTGAATTTGGCATACACTGAGAAGGCCGACTGAAAACATCACGCTCCAGACACTTGAAGGGAACTCGGATGGGAAACGACAAGTTCAGCGTTCGAGGTGAGGTGACATGGAAGAGATTGTGTGAGGAAAAAATAGAAGCTTGTGGGCTGTCGTGTAGGCAGGTTTAAAAGATTGCAGCGAAGAGAGTGGCATGGAGACGTGCTACTGAATCCGTATGTTCCACTAGAAACCCAAGTGACTAATAATAATATGCATTGTTATGAAGTGTTTTCTTCTGCATAATACAAATAAGACTATCTCTTGAAGATGAAGACATAACTTTGATAGACACCTTAATCATAAGCATCGTATTGCCTCCTACCATATCATCGTGTCTAGAAGTCGATCAACTGAGGGAACTAACTTGGTTTTAGATTCTAGGTGTTACTTGTTTCATTCGATAGGCGATCGAAATTGATCTAGTTTGAACAGCTCCATCTATCTTAGCTCAGCTTGGAGACTATCAATTCAGATGAGTAGAAATGATTTATTAGTGCAAGGAATTTCTTACTTACTACTCATAACTAATATGGTATATATTCTAATCACTGCTTAAAAGTACATCGTGTCATTCTTTATTATGTAATCATTAATTTATCTGCCTATACAATTCACTGTCTCAGGAGAATTTATCATCTAAGTTTAGGGATACTGCATTAGTTGTTGTATGACGCTTTGAGCTTAGTTTTTAATTGCTCATAATTATATCCCTCGTATGATCAACTGTATCATCTATTAAAATAAACAATAATTGATTACATCCATATAAGTTGAAGCGTATTAGACGTTTTTAATTGCGAAATAATACTACTAGGTAATAAGGTGTCCAATAAAATCGTTTTTGGAATAAATTACATGCCAAAAGAATAATTAGCGTTTCAGAAAACTAATTTATAAAAATACATACATAGATATAGACAGACAAACAGATAAAATCAACATTAGACCTTGAACACAAGTTGCCACACTTCACAGTTTTATGCATAGAACAATTGACATAGAAAAAGAATGATATCAGAGTAAACAAAAATGTATATTACTCTCATTAAGAGATAGTTACGCCTAGTTGACGAGTCCCGAATAGGAGGAAATATGCGTTTTACATTTCACTGCTATCCACTATTCACCATTAATATTGAAACTGGAAATATTTATTTATAGGATTTTATAAATGTTTTTTGCCAATTTTGATTACTTAGTATTACAAGTTGTTATTCATCATAGACTGACATCATTGGAAGAACAAGGAAACCTGGGAGCACTCGACAGCTGTTTCGTCCTAGTATAGGGACTCTTCAGCAGTGTGCACCATGAACCCACACCACCAGGGATCGAACCGCGACCTTCAGGTTCTGCGGACCAGCGCGTTACGATTGAGCCACTACTGGATCAGAATCCAATCATCCATATTTCCAACTTCTGTTAGCTCACGATATAGCGCAACCGCCACCCAATGTCATCGTTGAGTATCTGTCCTCACGACCATCAGGCTTTGACTCCACCGGTCACGACTTTTCATTGGAACTTCGGGAATACTTCTCGAAACTAGTCACCAATGAGCAGCAGTTCAATTAAATTTTGAGGGAGTTGTGGAGATTTGGAAATATTTCAAGTTGTTATTCATCGTAGACTGACATCAGTTGAGGAAACAAAGGAAACCTGGGATCACTGAACAGCTGTTCCATCCCACTTGTATGCGACTCCTGAGCAGTGCGCACCCAACACCCCACACCACCAGAGATCGAACCGACGACCTTCACGTTCCGTGACCAGCAACGTTACTATTGAGCCACTGGGTCAGAATCCAATGGTTTATATTTCCTAATTCTGTTAGCTCACGATATAGGGCAACCGTGCCACCCAATGTCATCGTTGAGTATTTGTCGTCACGACCATCAGGCTTGACTCAGTGGTAACGCGCTGGCCGCGGAACCTGAAGGTCGCAGGTTCGATCCCTGGTGGTGTGGGGTCGTGGGTGCGCACTACTGAGGAGTCCCATACTAGGACGAAACAGCTGTCGAGTGCTCCCAGGTTTCCTTTGTTCCTCCAATTGATGTTAGTCTACGATGAATAACAACTTGAAATATTTCCAAATCTTCACAACTCCCTCAAAATTTACTGAATGTTAATTAATTTAGTAGTAGGGTCCTGTTCCCTTAATGTTCACTTATGTACATTGTGTAGACTTTTTAACATTGACTGTATAAAGTAGAGTGGTTATCTATAGAGTGTGATACCTTTCAACTATGGATTACATCTTCAATATTCACATTGAAATGAAGTCCATTCTTTTTTTTTGGGAGAATTTTTATCAAAGTTATTTTTCCTAACTTAAATCTCTATTGATTATCATTTGACTGTCAATGTTAGCCATGCTTTGGCAACTTAGTTTTATACTGAGTGATGGATAAAGGTGAAATAAAAGTTTGAACCACGGCCGGTTTCAAATCAGTGACCCACCAACTAGGCAGCAAGTGTAAATACGATCAAGTGGTAGTAACACTTGACGAATTTACATAGTAGTCGATCAAAACCCATAGTGATTGAACTGGGAAAAAAAAATCTTGTCAACAGTCTGACCTTGCAGTTCAGTTGATAGAGTATCATACCAGAAATCTAGTGGTCAATAGTTCGAATTTGGCTGTGGTTCAAATTTTCATTTCACCTTCAATCATCATCCAGTCTAAATATCTGTTAGCAAAATTATACAAATTTGGATTAGTTATCGTAGTTAAGAAATGTTCTATACAGTTTTGTCTTGAAACTGGGATCAGTTTCTTATAATCATGGTTATTAAACAAGATGTATGGTTATCTACTAGTAGGCATATTAGGATTTGTGAACTTTCTTATTTTCTGTCTTGTTGCAATCATTCCTCACCATCATATATATATATGTGTATCTGTCAAATGCTCTTTAGAAATTTTAACTCAATCGTTCAAATTATGTATTGTTTTTTTTAGAGAGGAGAGTGAAACTATCCTTGAACTGAAAGGACTCACTCCAACTGGTATGCTTCCATTGGGTGCATTAGCAGGTGGTCGAGAAGCTATTAAAGGTAATTTATTTTAATTGTGTATCAACCATAGACTACAATTTTTTTTGTTCTTTATAAACTCTTTCAATAAATTAAAGCAGCTTATGCCTTCTAATTATCTACATTACTATTGCATAATAAGTGTTTTTCCTCTAAACCGACCTGGTCAAACGCTAAAATCTTGTGAGCCAATTGGCAGAGCACTGAGTTTGATTGCCTTGTGGCCATTAGTTTGAATTCTGTCGCGAAGGTCCTTATTTTACCTTCTGTCATTAGTCCCTTACAATAATACTAGCTTGCCAAACCTTTTAATAATCTTGTCTATCAGTAAGTTCTTAGTTAACAACTTCACAGAATTCTCCACCATCTCAGAAGACTACCATTTTGACATGTTTACTGATGTGCTTCATTTGATAATGGCTACCTCTAGTAATAACTAGCTAGAGTTCAGTAAAACTTTGAATATTTATGATAATTTGGTTGGTTGTTGCTAACGAAAGAATCCAGGATGTGCCTTTCATCCTATTTGAGACTCATCAGCTGGATGCACCTACACCACAGTAATGTTGTTTCCACTGAGATTCGAACCTCGTACTCATAGCTTCAAACGCAGAGTTGTTATTCACTATCTACGGAGGAACGATAGCCACTTCTTGATGTGATTTAAACACCTCATCTGTCTTAGCTCAGCTTGGGGACTATCTAGTGTTTACGTCAATTCAGCGAGCAGAAAACTACGGAGAATAACAAGTATGTCAATAAATAGTAACAGCTACTACTAGTTGTACAAGAAGTGGCTACCGTCCCTCCATGGCATAATGGAGGTTCGAGTTCAGTGTGAAAAACATCACTGGGGTATAGGTGCATCCAGCTGACGACTCTTAAATAGGATGAAACGTGAATCCTAGATCCTTTTGCTGGCCCCAATCAACCAAATCATCATAATTAACATTCAGGCAATATTGAGGCATCTGCCTCGGAGCCCATATACCAATAGAGGTCGAATAATTCGACCCAACAAAACAACAGAGAATAACAAGTATGTCATTAAATGGTTATTACATTGAATGTTTATTTATAACATAGTACTCACCTCGACTGAAATCATTGGAGAACCATTAAAAACCTAGGTTCATTGAACAACTGTTTCATCCTATTACAGTACTCCTCAGCGGTACTCATCTGTGACCCTACTAGATATCGATCTCAGGATTTCTAGTTTTCATAGCAAACACAATATGTAATGCATATACTTACAACCCTTGTCTTACGATAATGAGAATCAGTTGACCAAGGTACATACATATGCGACTAATTATCTCAGTTACCTCTTAAACTTGATGGTATTATGATCATCCATTCAGTGAAATGCATTCATCCTACACTGTATTGTGCACTAAACCAAATAAGTGGATAAAAATGAAAGTATACAAGTGTTCGCAGCAATCACTTATCATTCAATGGTTTATATTTTCTAAGTTATATCAATTCCCCATGTTGTATAACCATCATCTCGATAGGCATTTATCAGTACATCAAATAGACAGACATATAAATCAACGTAGAACAATCTTGCACACAAGTGGATCACTTTAAGTTGTCATACTTCACAACAGCGTGAAAAATGTCTTATATCAAAGTACACAAAGGTGTATTAGAGGAGAGAAAATTTAAAAAGTAGGATTGGTTAAAACAATCAAGCTATAGAAGACATCGACGAGTGAATAAATCTATACCATGTCACCAATAGTCCTTAGCCATTGATTCCTTTCATCTTGGAGACCCTAGACAAGTGGTTTACATCTGATTATAATCAGATGGTGACACTAACAGTCAGAGATTTTATAAGCCTTCTTCAAACCTAATCTAACTTCTTTCAGCATTACTCATCCAGGTAGGTGATAGCTGGGCATTGATTGTGCTTTCCCTAAGCCATCTAAGTCTGTCAAGGTTCAACTTGCTTATCTTGCCGTCTAGTACTCTTTGTCTGACCTTGAGATTACTAATATTTCAAGATTTTCACATCTTAATTGGCTGATCCCACAGATTATTTTATTCTTTTTATAAATCCAGAGAATCTACGTATCAACCAGTAGTAGGTAACAAACCTTAGATTATTGTTCAATGCAGAGGTTGGCGTGTATTTCTTCTTTATTCATTTGAGTTGTCAATACTACTATTAACCTCTAGTAATCAAAATTTACACTACAACATTCTAGAATCAGAAAGTCACTTAAAGTTGCCTAAATCATTTTTATCCACATGTATTAACTATACTTTGAGTATACGTTGAATTTTATTTCTACCTTTCAATTGTTGGGATATGTTTTCATGTCTATTGGTATGCGTTTGTGTATATTTATGTATATGTGTATAACCATAAGTACTCAATACGCAAATGAATTTCATTGTTAAAACCCTCATACGTTTCTTATGGGTTTTACGTTTTGTAAGCAAATGTATTTCACAGTATAGCGCAACCGTGCCACTCAATGTCATCGTTGAGTAACTGTCCTCACGAATATCAGGTTTTGCTCCCCACCGATCACGACTTCTCATTGGGACTTCGAGAATACTTCTCGAAGCTAGTCACCAATGAGCATCAGTTCAATTGAATTTTGAGGAAGTTGTGGGGATTTGGAAATATTTCAAGTTGTTATTCATTGTAGACTGACATCAGTTGGAGGAACAAAGGAAACCTGAGAGCACTCGACAGCTGTTTCATCCCTCAAAATTCAATTGAACTAGTGCTCAGTGGTGACTAGATTCGAGAGGTATTCCCCAAGTTCCATTGAGAAGTCGTGACCGCTGGAAGGCAAAACCTGATAGTGGTGAGGACAGTTACTCAACGATGACATTGGGTGGCACGGTTGCCCTATATCGTGAGCTAACAGAATTAGGAAATATAAACCATTGGATTCTGACCCAGTGGCTCAATCGTAACGTTGCTGGTCACGGAACGTGAAGGTCGCGGGTTCAATCTCTGGTGGTGTGGGGTGTTGGGTGCGCACTACTCAGGAGTCGCATACAAGTGGGATGGAACAGGTGTCCAGTGATCCCAGGTTTCGTTTGTTTCTGCAACTGATGTCAGTCTACGATGAATAACAACTTGAAATATTTCCAAATCTCCACAACTCCCTCAAATATATTTCCTATAGAATTCACATTATCGTTTTGTCACTCATACTTTATGTCGTTCATAACTCTACTAACCATCAGTCTGTTTCTCCGTGTCTTACACACAAATAACACAAAATGACTCATCATCAATCTAGTACTGTTATCAGTTGTTACAATTCACCAAAATAAGAAAAAAATGTTTCGAAAATACCATTCTACTAGAAATAAAAATTTAGTACTTATTATCGGAGATTCGTTCATCTAAACAAGCCTTATTGATTTAATAAAGAGTAAGTCTCTAGGTGGTATTTCTTTCGACTATCCAACTTGTCATCTTGTTTCATTTGTTTTCATGTTTACAATATTTGTTTACCTTGGATGTTTGTATGTTTGCGTTAAGTTGAAGAGAGAAAGAGACAGGAAGAAGGAAAAAGTAACTGAGACAAGCAGTGATGTTGTCTTTTTGTTTCCCTGTATGTGGTAATTGTCAGTCAATCAGTCATCAGACATACACCTGCACCACTGACATCGACTGTCAGGCAAATAACCTAAAGTCTGCAAACATAGATTTTGGCTGTCACATAGATCTCAATGAGAAATCCTAAATTTCTTTACAAAGTTCAGACCAACAGTTAGAAACTTCATAAACTGATGCTACTCTTTATTCTTGTCATTTTTGACACTTTTTCCAACTTAAACCTACTTCATATAGCATTCTATGACAGGATATACGACGACTATGCATGGGTGAAAACACCCCAACCATCCGAATCAGTAAATCTTTACTTGAGCTGGTTTTGAGCTTTTGGCAAGAACTTTACACCATACATCAACTTTACTTAAAGTGGCAATTCCATAACACATGACCAGTGTTACGCTGACAATGATGGTCGGATACCTAAAACCTTTTCATTTCCTTTACATTTCACGGTTATGTTAAACATGCATAGAGTAGGATGGAGTGAACTTCTTGATAGGGAATTCGATTCTCAGTGCGTAGTCGGATATCTTACCAAGATTCAATCAAGCATTTTATAGCTGTGCTGTTATTTTGTCAGTTGCCGATCCACCAAAGCTAATCCAACTTCCTTAATGAGTAAAGTGGTCACTACATCCAACCACTCCAGTCTGGACGCAGACCACTCCTGAAGTAACAGGTCACATTTAGATGTGATGACAAACTCATCAAGAATATTCTAAAATTGCCCCTCAAGGTGTCTAGAAGACTTTTCATCTTGTTGGCATCTTCACTCCTATCATCTGTTTTCTCTAACCCAATTAATGAATCTCCTGAGATGAAGTCAACCACAGCAAAATTAGTTAGGAAGATGGAGATCTCCATAGGATCTTATTTGATGAAGTTAGATTGAAATAAACAAAATGAAAATCTTTGACGAATACCACTTGACGTAGACTACTAACCTGATATCTCACCGTAGACTCTAAGACATCTACATGTGGTTGAATATAGAATCTTTTGTGGATAAATTTTCCTACCCAACATCTTTCCTAGTGGAAGTCACTGGCATAAGCTCTGTCGATTGATGGAGCTAAATGCTTTCTTCAGGTAAATAAATGCAACCAGTATTGAGCATCAATAATTGAGGACTGTTGGTGATGTGGCTGAAAATTGGTCACAATGCTGCAGATATATTCACTGTTTGATGTCATCTATAGCTTGAATATTTACACTAACCTTATTTTTAAAATTTTCGCTTCTTTCATTACAGCTTTATCTACTTGAATATCACTGTTTTTCTATCAAGTTGTTTTTGTATACTACTGTGAATTGGGTCAAGTTGAAGTGATTTTCTTATGTACTACTAAGTGGTTCTACGTTGATTTTGTCTTTCTGTTTATATTTATTCTATGAATTACTCATACGTCAACTGTAGGCATAG